TGGGTATGTGTATGTGGGTGTCTAGATCTACAGGAGGGTATGTGTATGTGAGTATGTGTTGTGGATGTCAAGATCTACAGGAAAGTATGAGTATGTGAGAGTCAAGATCTACAGGAGAGTATGTGTATGTGAGTATGTGTATGTGAGAGTCAAGATCTACAGGTGAGTATGTGTATGTGAGAGTCAAGATCTACAGGAGAGTATGTGTATGTGAGTATGTGTATGTGAGAGTCAAGATCTACAGGAGAGTATGTGTATGTGAGAGTCAAGATCTACAGGTGAGTATGTGTATGTGGATGTCTAGATCTACAGTAGGGTATGTGTTGTGGATGTCTAGATCTACACTAGAGTATGTGTTGTGGATGTCTAGATCTACAGTAGAGTATGTATATGTGGATGTCTAGATCTACAGTAGAGTATGTGTATGTGGATGTCTAGATCTACAGTAGAGTATGTGTATGTGGATGTCTAGATCTACAGTAGAGTATGTGTATGTGGATGTCTAGATCTACAGGAGAGTATGTGTATGTGGGTGTCTAGATCTACAGGAGAGTATGTGTATGTGGGTGTCTAGATCTACAGTAGAGTATGTGTTGTGGATGTCTAGATCTACAGTAGAGTATGTGTTGTGGATGTCTATATCTACAGTAGGGTATGTGTTGTGGATGTCTAGATCTAAAGGAGGGTATGTGCACCCCTATAAAAACACAGCATGTCTCTCATGTGAACACACTCTTTGTTTTTATGAAACAGGAAAACCGGCCCTGGGGTGCATGCGGCCCGTGCCCGACCAACGAACTGGCACGAGGCGCCTCCACGTCCGGACCTCGAAGCTCAGGCTCTGACTCTGCCATTGTCATCGGCCCGGATGTGTCGACACCACGAGAATCGCAGTCAGAACACAAAGTCGGGTCGGCCAGCTGGGAGCGCCAGCCCAGTGACAACACGGACCTGCAGCTGAGCCAGACCAAGGACACGGATGCTCCTCTCAAGCCGCGCGGCAGAGAACGAGAGAGGAGCAAGAAGAAGAGAGATCGAGACCACAGAAGTTACGGCGGCAAAAAGTTGTTGAAGAATGCTGTTGGGGACGTCAATGTCCACCAGCCTGAGACTGTCGTCAAGGAGAGAGAAGCTGAGCAACAGAGTCGACATTTGGTGCCAGTCAGCTGCCTGGCTGACCACGGGTCAAGCATGGACGATAGCCAGCTGAAGCTGCAAGCGCTGGCAGACAGAAGACAACAGGAGGAATTCATCAGTACAGATAGAACTGAAGACTCGGGTGACATGTCAGAACCCGCGAGAAAATCTACCTGTGGTCTGGAGCATCACACGGCAACGACACTGGGCAGGCAGTCATCCCCTGCCAGAGACACTCAGGCATCTCGCTTACGTGCAAGAGAACCTGCGACTCCGGACACACAAAGTGGAGACAGTCACTGGCCAGACGACGAAGCTAGTAGTGATTGGATAAAGGCCTCTTGCAGCCGTTACGGCAAGCGAACTTCCTTTCACAGACAGAAACTTCAAGCTTCGGGAAATCCTGCGCACACGACTTCCGCTAAGGCAGGAGTTGCCTTCGATGTCAGCGAGAACTCTGAACACGAATACGTGGCATTGCTGGAAGATTCTGGAAACGACTTTTCTACATCCTTAAATGACCCAAGTCCTACTTTAAGCAATGAGTGGACGAGAGATGATATCCGCCACAGGTTGACCAGTGGGCAAACTGCTTGTAGAATGCATGGAGACTGGCCTCTGTACCCGGAGAATACAGAGGTGACGTCAGTCCAAGGATTGAGCTCACAGTCGTTTAGACCCGAGCTAGCCTGCAGTGTGTTTGACGAGTCGTTAACCATCCCCCCAAATACCTGATGGAGCCCACCTCCAACCCTTGGGCGCATGCCGCCTCGCCTAACACCTGCCAATATTTTGGTGACACTGCGGCATATGGTGCTGCGGAAATCACTGAGAATTATACTGACCACACTGCTGGCGTTGTGCCACAGAATATAGACAGCACAGAGTCCGCAAACTTGGCACAGGACTCTCCAGCACACAGCACTGAAACTAGGCCATTCCTACACACAGAAACCTCTGGCGCCCATGACATTCCTCTCAGCTTAGACAAAGTCCACATTTCAACTGAGTCTCAAGTCTCCGTTGTAAATCAGGACACGTCCAGCCCAGAAGTCATAGAATACTGCAGTGGTTTCTTGACCAGCATCGGGGTTGCAGTCCGTGGCGACACATCCAGCTTTGAAAACTATGATATTTTTGCTAACACAGGAGAAGCGCTTGTGGTAAATAATGCCAACGGCTTCACAGAGAAGGCAGCTGTTGTAAATGATATCGCTAACTCAAAGGAAGCAGCTGTTGTAAATGATATCGCTAACTCAAAGGAAACAGCTGTTGTAAATGATATCGCTAACTCAAAGGAAACAGCTGTTGTAAATGATATCGCTAACTCAAAGGAAACAGCTGTTGTAAATGATATCGCTAACTCAAAGGAAACAGCTGTTGTAAATGATATCGCTAACTCAAAGGAAACAGCTGTTGTAAATGATATCGCTAACTCAAAGGAAACAGCTGTTGTAAATGATATCGCTAAATTGACGGAAGCTGGGGATATAAATGATCGTATGGCTAGCTTGACGGGAGTTGGTGTTGTAAATGATGATATCGCTAACTTGGAGGACATCAAATCTGTACAGGTGAATGACATCGCAGAAAAGCCTCTTTTAGGTCTGTGGGAAGAAAGCAGATCTGTGACACTTAGGAAAGAGGCTGACATACCACCTGAAAGTCCCACAGTTCAGGGACAGGTTGACATACCACCTGGAAGTCCCACAGTTCAGGGACAGGTTGACATACCACCTGGAAGTCCGACAATTGAAGGACAGGCTGACATACCACCTGGAAGTCTCACAGTTCAGGGACAGGCTGACATACCACCTGGAAGTCCCACAGTTCAGGGACAGGCTGACATACCACCTGGAAGTCCCACAGTTCAGGGACAGGCTGACATACCACCTGGAAGTCCCACAGTTCAGGGACAGGCTGACATACCACCTGGAAGTCCCACAGTTCAGGGACAGGCTGACATACCACCTGGAAGTCCCACAGTTCAGGGACAGGATGACATACCACTTGGAAGTCTCACAGTTCAGGGTCAGGCTGACATACCATCTGAAAGTCCCACAGTTCGGGGACAGGCTGACATACCACCTGGAAGTCTCACAGTTCCGGGCCAGGCTGACATACTACCTGGAAGTCCCACAGTACAGGGCCAGGCAGACATACCACCTGGAAGTCCCACAGTTCAGGGCCAGGCAGACATACCACCTGGAAGTCCCACAGTTCAGGGACAGGATGACATACCACTTGGAAGTCCCACAGTACAGGGACAGGCTGACATACCATCTGGAAGTCCCACGGTTCAGAGACAGACTGACATTCCACCTGGAAGTCTGACAGTTGAGGGACAGGCTGACATACCACCTGGAAATCTGACAGTTGAGGAACAGGCTGACATACCACTTGGAAGTCTCACAGTTGAGGGACAGGCTGACATACCACCTGAAAGTCGCAGAGTTCGGGGCCAGGCTGACATACCACCTGGAAGTCCCACAGTTCGGGGTCAGGCTGACAGTGTTAGTTCCCGAGATCCTTCAAAAGTAGTTACTGTAGATCAGGCTGAAGTGTTAGACAGGGAAGCTGCGTTAAACCGAACCGTGGACACAAGTGGCGTAAACATGGAGCACTTCAACGACAATACTGGTGTTAGCATATTGGGTCTCAGTGAAAGTAGAGGCTTTCTGAACTTTGTTGAGAATATGGATTTTCACATTGAGGAACCCCTAGAAGGTGAACTTGGAGATCTGGCAGATAGCAAGTATTGGCCGGCATACGTGGGCGTTGAGGGGACATCTCGATGTTGTGACACCTTGTCAGGGACACACAATCTGGGGCTCTTACACATGACCGAGTCAGCTAGTATGGAGCCAGTTGAAAATGTGGGGTCACGTAATCAGGAGGCAAGTAAAACAACATCACGTGATGTGGAGTCATCCAATGAAACGACGGCCCCACGTCATGTACAGGTAGCAGACGTCAGTGCTACATATTGTCAGCTGGATCATTCTGGGGTAATAGAATCGCATCAGATGGAGATAGCTGACGTAACTGGGCGCTGCTTCTGTCTGCAGGTTACTGCAGTTTTGGAATCACACCAGCCGGAGCTAGCTGCAGTAAACACGGACACAGCCCAGTCTATAAACACAGAGACAGCCGAACAGAAAGATGCTAAGTATTCTAGGACAGATCAAGCTGTCGGCGCAAGCGGCACGGGCCAGCAAAGTTCCAAGGGAAGAAAGTTCAAACAGAAGTTTGAAGCCAGCGGTACCAGAGATCTCAAACAGTGGGCGGCCAAAAAGAAAAGGAGACGAAAGGCGAAACCTCAGACCAAAGTTTCTGAACTACAAGGGGTGAAGAAAGCGAAGCCTACAGAAAGTATGAATGTAACTGAAGGGATAGCCACAGTTGTACCTCCAGGTCAGTCGCACGACAGGAGATATTCTAAGTCCAGCGATACACAGGAAATGCAGCGATCTCAGGCGGAGTTACTGATAGAGGTAACAAAAAGGGAGGAGGGCGAGTTATCACCCAGTGGACAACCATCATCTGCCGAACGGGAGGTAGCTGACCTAGCAGGAGGACCTGAGGTAGCTGACCTAGCAGGAGGACCTGAGGTAACTGACCTAGCAGGAGGACCTGAGGTAACTGACCTAGCAGGAGGACCTGAGGTAACTGACCTAGCAGGAGGACCTGAGGTAACTGACCTAGCAGGAGGACCTGAGGTAACTGACCTAGCAGGAGGACCTGAGGTAACTGACCTAGCAGGAGGACCTGAGGTAGCTGACCTTGCAGGGGAACCTGAGGTAGCTGACCTAGCAGGAGGACCTGAGGTAACTGACCTAGCAGGAGGATCTGAGGTAGCTGACCTAGCAGGAGGACCTGAGGTAACTGACCTAGCAGGAGGATCTGAGGTAGCTGACCTAGCAGGAGGACCTGAGGTTGCTGACCTAGCAGGAGGACCTGAGGTAACTGACCTAGCAGGGGAACCTGAGCTAGCTGACCTAGCAGGAGGACCTGAGGTAGCTGACCTAGCAGGAGGACCTGAGGTTGCTGACCTAGCAGGAGGACCTGGGGTAGCTGACCTAGCAGAACGGCCTGATGTTGCTGACCTAGTAGGAGGACCTGAGGTAGCTGAACTAGCAGGAGGACCTAAGGTAGCTTACCTAGCAGGAGGACCTGAGGTAGCTGACCTAGTAGAAGAAGATTTTCAGGTAGCTGACCTAGCAGGAGGACCTGGGGTAGCTGACCTAGCAGGAGGACCTGAGGTAGCTGACCTAGCAGGAGGACCTGAGGTAGCTGACCTAGTAGAAGAAGATTTTCACGTAGCTGACCTAGTAGAAGAAGGTCTCCATGTAGCTGACCTAGTAGAAGAAGGTCTTCAGGTAGTTGAACTAGTAGAAGAAGAAGGTATCCAGGTAGCTGACCTAGTAGAAGAGGGTATCCAGGTAGTTGAACTAGTAGTAGAAGAAGGTATCCAGGTAGCCGACCTAGTAGAAGAGGGTATCCAGGTAGCTGACCTAGTAGAGGAACATCTCCAAGTATCTGCCTTTTTAGAAGAAGAGGGTCTCCAGGTAGCTGAACTAGTAGAAGAAGGTATCCTGGTAGCTGAACTAGTCGCAGAAGGTCTCCAGGTAGCTGACCCAGTAGAAGAAGGTCTCCAGGTAACTGACCTAGTAGAACAAAATCTCCAGGTAGTCTACATAGTAGAAGAATGTCACCAGGTAGTTGACCCAGTAGAGGAAGGTCTCTACGTAGCTGACCGAGTGTTAGAAGAAGGTCTCCAGGTAACTGACCTAGCAGACGAAAGTCTCCAGGTATGTGACCTAGTAGAAAATAATCTCCATGTAGCTAGCCTGAAAGAAGAAGGCCTTTATTCAGCTGACCAAGTAGCAGAAGGTCTCCAGGTAAGTGCCCTAGTAGAAAAAGATCTCCAGGTAGCTGACCTAGCAAAAGAACATTTCCAGGTAGCTGACTTGGTAGAAAAACATATCCAGGTAGCTGACTTGGTAGAAGAACATCTCCAGGTAGCCAACTTGGTAGAAGAACATATCCAGGTAGCCAACTTGGTAGAAGAACATATCCAGGTAACCAACTTGGTAGAAGAACATATCCAGGTAGCTGACTTGGTAGAAGAACATATCCAGGTAGCTGACTTGGTAGAAGAACATATCCAGGTAGCCAACTTGGTAGAAGAACATCTCCAGGTAGCTGACTTGGTAGAAGAACATATCCAGGTAGCCAACTTGGTAGAAGAACATCTCCAGGTAGCTGACCTAGCAAAAGAACATCTCCAGGTAGCTGACTTGGTAGAAGAACATCTCCAGGTAGCTGACTTGGTAGAAGAACATCTCCAGGTAGCTGACTTGGGTAGAACATATCCAGGAACTTGGTAGAAGAACTACCAGGTAGCTGACTTGGTAGAAGAACATCACCAGGTAGCTGACTTGGTAGAAGAACATCACCAGGTAGCTGACTTGGTAGAAGAACATCACCAGGTAGCTGACTTGGTAGAAGAACATCTCCAGGTAGCTGACTTGGTAGAAGAACATCACCAGGTAGCTGACTTGGTAGAAGAACATCTCCAGGTAGCTGACTTGGTAGAAGAACATCTCCAGGTAGCCAACTTGGTAGAAGAACATCACCAGGTAGCTGACTTGGTAGAAGAACATCTCCAGGTAGCTGACTTGGTAGAAGAACATCTCCAGGTAGCTGACTTGGTAGAAGAACATCACCAGGTAGCTGACTTGGTAGAAGACGACCTTAAGGTAGCTCACCTAGTAGAGAAAAGTTTTCCGGTAGCTGACTTTCAAAAAAGTCTCCAAGTAGCTGACTGTTTGGAAGAAGGTCTCCAGGTAACTGACCTAGTAGAGAAAGATTTCCAGGTAGCTGACCTAGTAGAAGAATATCACCAAGTATCAGACCTGATAGAAGGAGATCTCCAAGCATCTGACATAGCAACAGAAAATCTTCAGGGAGATGGCCTGGTAGAAGCAGGTCTCTGTGTAGATGGCCTGGTAGAAGAAGGTCTCTGTGTAGATGACCTGGTAGAAGAAGGTCTCTGTGTAGATGGCCTGGTAGAAGAAGGTCTCTGTGTAGATGGCCTGTTAGAAGAAGGTCTCTGTGTAGATGGCCTGGTAGAAGAAGGTCTCTGTGTAGATGGCCTGTTAGAAGAAGGTCTCTGTGTAGATGGCCTGTTAGAAGCAGGTCTCTGTGTAGATGGCCTGGTAGAAGCAGGTCTCTGTGTAGATGGCCTGGTAGAAGAAGGTCTCTGTGTAGATGGCCTGTTAGAAGAAGGTCTCTGTGTAGATGGCCTGTTAGAAGAAGGTCTCTGTGTAGATGGCCTGTTAGAAGAAGGTCTCTGTGTAGATGGCCTGTTAGAAGAAGGTCTCTGTGTAGATGGCCTGGTAGAAGAAGGTCTCTGTGTAGATGGCCTGTTAGAAGAAGGTCTCTGTGTAGATGACCTGGTAGAAGAAGGTCTCTGTGTAGATGGCCTGGTAGAAGAAGGTCTCTGTGTAGATGGCCAGGTAGAAGAAGGTCTCTGTGTAGATGGCCTGTTAAAAGAAGGTCTCTGTGTAGATGACCTGGTAGAAGAAGGTCTCTGTGTAGATGGCCTGGTAGAAGAAGGTCTCTGTGTAGATGGCCTGGTAGAAGAAGGTCTCTGTGTAGATGGCCTGGTAGAAGAAGGTCTCTGTGTAGATGGCCTGGTAGAAGAAGGTCTCTGTGTCTGTGTAGATGGCCTGGTAGAAGAAGGTCTCTGTGTAGATGGCCTGTTAGAAGAAGGTCTCTGTGTAGATGGCCTGGTAGAAGAAGGTCTCTGTGTAGATGGCCTGTTAGAAGCAGGTCTCTGTGTAGATGACCTGTTAGAAGAAGATCTCTGTGTAGATGGCCTGTTAGAAGAAGGTCTCTGTGTAGATGGCCTGTTAGAAGAAGGTCTCTGTGTAGATGGCCTGTTAGAAGAAGGTCTCTGTGTAGATGGCCTGGTAGAAGAAGGTCTCTGTGTAGATGGCCTGGTAGAAGAAAGTCTCTGTGTAGATGACCTGTTAGAAGGTCTCCATTTAGCTGACCTAAACGAAGGTCTCCAAATAGCTAGTTTGGTAGAAGGAGGTCTCCAGGCAGCTGAACTAGTTGAAGATCTTCAGGCAGCTGACCAGGCAGAAATAGCTGATCTAAAAGAAGGTCCACAGATAAATGAGCAGACAGCAAAAGATCCTCAGGTAGAAGATTTTAAAAAGGACAAAGAGACTCACATAAAGCTTTTGGTGTTGGTGACATAAGAGTTGAAACACTACACATTTTTGACCTCGCTATTGTCCCAGGTCTAGCTGAAGTTGCAGAAAAAGGTCAACCGACAAATCATTCACAGATCACTGACCTTGATGAGAAAGGAACACAGGAAGCTGGACTTCTAGAAAAAGATTTCCAGGTTTCTAAACCTCTAGACAAAAATCTGTTTGTTACTGATCCGGCAGAAGTCAGTGGACAAATAGCTGCCCACGCAGGTACAAGCTGTACAGAGTCTGCTGCTCTGCTGGGAGATGGTCTGAAGGTAGACCTGGTGAATGCACGTGGGGAGAAAGGTAACGTTTTAGAGAAGCCCCAGGTAACTGACCTAGCCTGCATGGGGTTGCAGGTGACTAGCCTAGAGCATGGCGGTTCAAGGTTTGATGACCTATCAGGAAATGTGGTGCCGGGTTTGGCTGACGTAGAACATGGCGGTCCAAGGTTTGGTGACCTATCAGGAAATGTGGTGCCGGGTTTGGCTAACGTAGGCCAAGAATATTTACTACATAAAGGTGAACTAGAACTAGAAGAATTGCTACATAAAGGTGAACTAGAAAAGGAAGAATTGATACTTAAAGATAAACTAGAACAGAGACGATTGTTTCATGAATGTAAACTAGAGCAGGAAGAATTGCTACATGAGGCTTATCTAGAACAAAAGGAATTGAATAATGAAGGTGAACTAGAACAGAAAAAATTGCTACATAAAAATGAACTAGAACAGGGAAAACTGCTGCGAGGAGAACACATAGAACGTACAGAATTCCTAAATGAAAGTGAGCTAGAACAGGGAGAATCACTACACGAAAAACACACAGAACAGAAAGAATTGCTGCAAGAAAGTGAACTAGAACAGGGGGTATTTCAACAGGAAAAACATACAGAACGGAAAGAATTGCAGCATGAAGATAAACTAGAACAGAAAGAATTGCCTCACGAAAGTGAACTACAACCGGAAAAATTACTATCTGAAGGTCAACTAGTACAGGAAGGATTGCTACATGAAAGGGAACTACAACAGGGAGAATTGTTACATGAAGGTGAACTACCACAGGAAGAACTGCTACATGGAGGTGAACCAGAACAAGGAGAATTGCTACATGAAAATGAACTAGAGCAGGAATATTTGCTACATGGAGGTGAACTAAAAGATATAGATTTGCTATATAAAAGTGAATTAGAACAGGGAGAATTATCACATGACGATGAACTAGAACAGGAAGTTGTGGGTCAGCAGAGAGTAGGCCAACTATCGGAAGGTCCACAAATCACTGACCTTTCAGAAGGTCTGCTGATAGATAACCCTGGAGGAGAAAGTCTGCTGATAGATAACCCTGGAGGAGAAAGTCTGCTGATAGATAACCCTGGAGGAGAAAGTCTGCCGATAGATAACCCTGGAGGAGAAGATCTGCCGATAGATAACCCTGGAGGAGAAGGTCTGCTAATTGATAACCCTGGAGGAGAAGGTCTGCTGATAGATAACCCTGAAGGAGAAAGTCTGCTGATAGATAACCCTGGAGGAGAAAGTCTGTCGACAGATAACCCTGGAGGAGAAAGTCTGCTGATAGATAACCTTGGAGGAGAAAGTCTGCAAGCAGCTGACGTCACAGAAGAACGTCCATTGTTATCTGATATAACAGGAGAATGTCTACGGTTAGGTAACCTTATGGAGAACAGGTCAGAAGCTGAGCCAGCAGCAGATCCTCATAAAGCTAGGCTAACCGAGGAAGATCCACCACTAGACAGTCTCTTAAGTGTAGGTCCACTGTCAGTTCACCTGGCTGCTGAAGGTCGGTGTGAAACTGACACGGCTGCTGAAGGTCGGTGTGAAACTGACACGGCTGCTGAAGGTCGGTGTGAAACTGACACGGCTGCTGGAGGTCGGTGTGAAACTGACACGGCTGCTGGAGGTTGGTGTGAAACTGACATGGCTGCTGGAGGTCGGTGTGAAAATGACACGGCTGCTGAAGGTCGGTGTGAAACTGACACGGCTGATGGAGAAGTGGCTGACCTAGATAATAAAACCTTGCCAGTTATTGACCTGCCAGAT